AAAAGGTGCTAGATAGAAGAGTGCATGATGGCAGACATATATTCCGAGTTGTTGTTTTTTTTAAGCAGCTGTTTACCAAGTTCACCTTTTCTTGACAGCTAACACAATTGGGAGCATTGGGTCTAGTACCACCAATTCAGCCTTCTGCCTGTCTTGGCAACAAATCTCCCACCTGTTTTTCTGAAACCGTAGCTTGGAATGAGATGATGAAGCAATTTTCTTGTGTACAGTTTTAATTCTTAATGGAAAGTATTTCTGTTTTCTCCCTTTACCCTCCATTCCTTTTTTAACTTTACACTGGATATGAAGGAAAAGCTATGTTTTCTGGAGGAAAAAAAATACACGCGTCCGGTCTGGCCAGTAGGTGGCACCCGAGCTCCAGCAAATGCCGCACACAGAGACCAGAGCAGAGGTTCCTTTCTGAATTGTGCACGGCCCATCCGGTGTTTTCCGCTTGGACTCCCGAATCTGCCCTTAATAGAAAATCATCACGTTGAATGTAATTCACCAGACGTCACTAATGCCTTACATCGAGACAGAGGTCAAATTTAAGGGGAAATGTGGACATTAGCTCCTTTGATGTGTACAGTTATGATGGGGGGGGGGCTCCTTGTTCTTAAGATTTCAAGCAATGATTTTTATATTTATATATACATACATCTATCGGTCAATATAGAGAGAGACAGAAATGCAGAAAGAGAGGGAAATGTATTTAAAAATAAACTAAATCACAAAATCTATTTATTGTCTTACTAAAAAAAAAAAGAAATGTTATCCAGGGAGAATTATGTTTTTACTGCAAAGAAATGAAAAATTCCAGCTGCCTCCAATGTTTTTTTTTTTCTCCCATGTTATGCTTGTTCTAATTTTGCTAACGAGTCAATATTTAAACTGCAAGTACTATCCATGCCATAAGGTCATCCATGCCATAAGGTGATGATTGATGACAATAGTTTTTAAAAGAAATTGAAAAAGAGTCTATCAGGACATTCATGCAAACATGATACATAAACCAGAATCACTGAAAATTTCATCTAAGGCCATTTACTCCCCACTGAAATTACTGACCTTCATTCAGCCTGTATATTGTTATTCGAACTTCATGGTTTCTGATTCGGGGCAAACGTTTTCCTGCTATGGCATGAAATGTTTCAGCTGCACCGACAACAGACCATAAATACAAAAAGGGCATATTTTTGTTCAATGCTATTTTTCTTTTGCTTGGCCTTCTTTCCAAAAAGAATTAAGTGGTCCCTAGGCAGCGAACACCCTGTGGCCTGCTTCATACCATGTTCTTGTTCTGTATGGCACGCTGCGAGAAGACAGTTTAGATTCTCTTGCTTTCTGTTTACTATGATGTAGTTATGATAAGGGCTGGATTATCCATTATGCAATGTACCCTGTAACGTAGAGATCTAGTCATATTGGGTGCTTTGCATCTAAAAACATGTGGTATATGGTCCTATATTTGAATACAGGTTCAGACCATTGGTAAATTTAAGCCAGCATTTTCTTCTACTTTGCCCCTATCCAATCTCAGGTTCCCTGAGAAATGAGAGGTTTCTTAGGAGATACTAGGGTTCAAACCCAGGAATTCTGTATTCTATTGATGACTTCTGGCCCCTTCACAAAAAGTTTGTTTTTCTAAAATCTGTTTGGCATCCAAGGACCTTTCTTATGGAAGGGAAATATCATTTGCTGTATATCTACCATGCCGCTATGTTGGATTCCATTAAAATCCCATGCAGCTAAAATTACCATGTTGCTGTTCTGTGCTGTCGAGTCCCAGAGAATAAAGATGGGCACACACCGGCAATTTGACAGTTTGTCCCAGTTTGTTTACCCCTGCAACAGATGTTTGGTGGTTTGGTGCCGATGGGCACCCACTCAGATGTAGCTGGGTGCTCTCTTTGAGTGGGCGCACACCGGAGAGGGTGGGACACTGAACATTTGTTGCAGCAGTAAATGAACTGGGCCAAACCAACAAAATGGCAGTTCATGCCCATGTCCAATAGAGACTGGGGAATCAACAACTTTAAAAGGTCTGATAATTAACAGAAAAAAGAGAGGCACTTTCCTAAGCTTTACCAGAACACCAGAGTGTCCAAACCACCTTCTGCAAAATATTAATGAATCTGAATTTGCTGATCTTGGAAACCCTTCAAAGAGATAAATAGCTGAATCACTTTCCTTAATAACAAGTATCAATCCTGTATGGATTCACTGTGTTTTCAATATTTCATTAAGCACTGTTTTTTTATCCCCAAAGGATTACTAGAGGAGCATGTATGTGTGAACAATACAAAGAAACTTTAATACCTATGTAGTGTAAAACAAGATAGACTAA